CTTCAACATGGTCAAGGTGTTAAGTAGATGTTAAGTGAGTATGAAGTAGTTATGAATTTCATTATTATTAATTAGCATGCATTATAAAAACATTGGATTAAAACACTATTATTATACATAAAAATCAGACTCATCCAGAGCGGCCAAGTCATCATCAGAGTCAGGGTCTGATGGTAGTACTTCATCATCACTACTATCATATTAATCATCAGATTCACCACCAATTAGACAACATAGAATCATGGATGACAAATTCCCGAATTCCGTCCAGTTCCCAGTAGTGATCCTCAAAATTATCTTGAACATGTTTTACCAAGTTCTTCTATTTATCAGGAGTAGCTAAATCAAACCCTTCCTGCCCTGGCTATTCAATCTAACTCCTTGCTTTCTCTTCTTCTCACTTTGGACGCCATTTTAAACAATTTATTCTAACTTCCGGTCACACCTCCTGTTGTGATTATAATGGTAGGCAGTGGCTTTTAAGTGGCGGCAGTGCTTAGATTTTGCAGCTTTTATACTTTCTGCAGTTCCTAAAGTCTTATCCACTAGTCCTATACATCAAATGAAGCGCATTGCTGAGAATATATCTGTGTGTAAATTTGGCATTGATTAGATTTAGAGTAAAACCATAGATAGTAGAGTAAATGAGTAATTCATTTACTCTAATATCTATCTAAAACCTTTGAGTTATTTAAGTTTCATTTAGTTAGAAGTCAACCTGAACATACTATACATTTGATGTTAAGAATTTCAATTCTGGCACAAAATAATATGAAATGTCAAAGGTTAAACAAACACCACCAATACACAATGTTACATAAAATAACTATATTTTCGAAATAATGCACATAATTATAGATAGTAGAGAAAAAAGCCTATAAAGTACAGACAGTAATTTACTCCAGTGAATTTACTCACATAAGGGTGGGGCTCATAGCTGCAAAATTAAAATAAGCTAGATCTATTCATTGTCTTCTTTGCAGTGTTTATGTATCCACGCCCCTTTGCAGCACAGGTTAGCTCTCCAAATTCGGCCACTGGGCCACCTAGGAGCATAATGAGCTTCCCAATCCCCATCTCCGTGGAAGAGCAAGATAAACATCATGGAACTGGAATTAAAAGTGCCATCGTAGCTAAAAGTGAAAAACACGACTTACAAGAGCCTGCTCTACCTGCCACCTCAAGATTAAATGATGGTAAGTAACGAAGTTACTTCAGTTAGTATAATATCAAGAATTTTGAAAAGTTGAATGTAAAAAGTCACAGACTATGGTGTGATCTAGATCTATCCATAGGTGATATTAATAATGACACAGGGAGTCCAGTGGCACCACAACTAGAAGAAACAGAATATCTTCTGAGTTCTGAGGGTAGTATCCAGCGGGAACAACACAAAAAGCATGCTCTAACACCAATAGCAAAAAAGGTAGTCTGATCAAAAGAATGTTCTGTCCTTTTGGAGTAAAACAAGCTGCTGTCATTGTTGCATTATTCATCATTGTTGCTTTGTCATTGTTCGTCACTGATCTTGTCATGATAGGAGCCAAATATGGGCACAGTAAGGATTTAGTGGTCAGAAATGATTATGTTCTCCTTAAAGCAAATTCCAGTGGTCTCTATTCAGCGATGATAGCTTTCAACAATACAAATTTCACAAGTGATTATATTCAGCCAAACATGATTACTTATATTTACCAAGTTTCATGCTACGAGGTCCATAAGCTGTATGAATCACAATTTAAACATCAATCCTTAAGAGTAGCATTTAATGCATGTGGAATCTACATCAATAAGTGTGTTCTGGATGAATATTGGTATTGCTCAAAGAGTAAAGATGCTTTGATGTTCTATGCATTCGATTTTACATCCGTAAATTGAAGAGAGGAGCTCAAAGTCATAGTTTTTGATGATGCAGTGAACTATATGAACTATCTGTCTGGGAAAAAAACCTTTGAAGGAGCTCTTTATACTAGAGATGTGCCAACTGATAAAAGCTATTGGGAATTTGATTTTACTTCAGCTCGAATGAGAAAGGAAGCATCATATTATTTCTTTGTTATTGCTGACCTCAAAGGTGGAACAGAACCATTCTTCATCACGAAATATGAAATAAGGACATATTTTAATGTAAGCAAGTTGCTACCAAATTGCAAAGTTAAGAACAATGAGTCTTGTTCAAGCAATATCGGACTCACTACGCACAACTCATGCTTCCTGGCACAAGCTCAAGGTGAATATAATGCATCGTCTTATGGTTCAAAGGATATGGTTTACGTCAGCTATAAACTTAAATATCGCTCATGGTCTATTCTATTTATTGCCTCATTGTCATTATTTGGGGCACCAATCATTACTTTTATTGGTTTATGCATACTTAAAAGTATTTCCTGCCAAAAATAGGTACAGTAGATATTTGTAGTATAGCTATGCTGCTGTCAGTGCTACAACAATTTTTGACACGTTTTTTGCATTTTAATGATTTTTTATTGATAATTATGAAATGAATTTTAATTTCCTAGGCGGGGTCTCAAGCGACACATTTTGTCACATGGGTAATGAAGGTTGGTGTATAGCAAAGAATAAGCATAAGAGACATTGTGCCAACTGCTGTGTTTATTTCCTGTCACGACTCACAATTTTTAGTTTATACTTTTGTTTGTTGACATAAACCCTAAATTGCTACAGCTTCATGTCTTATGTCAGCTTGGAATAAATAAATCTTAATAAAACATGTCTAGGGCAGCCAGTAGTGGAGTAATATATTATGTTTTGCCCTCAACTTACATGTAATACTGGTCAGTTTCAGCTCCATCTATTTAGTATAGCACATAACAGTTTAAAAGCAGCTTTAATTTGAATCAGCTCAATACTTATTGTATAGATATTGATGAATCATATTTAAAACCATCAGATGCATGGGGTATAGTACTGATAATACTAGCCATCATTGGATTAATAGCTGTAGTATTCGTCACGTCTGTTTTCATCTGGTTCTGGAATACACCAATCGTCAAGTCTTCAGGAAGGGAGCAAATGATAATGCTATTGATTGGACTTACACTTTGCTTCTTCATAACCATCTTCTTCTTGTTAAAACCTTCGCCAGCATCATGTGGTCTTCAAAGGACCTGGTCCTCGAGAGGTGTAGGATGGCTGCAGCTGCTAGTTTTAAATTATTTAAATTTTACTGCCAGCTACCCTGCTGATGAGTGAAGTCAGTGAAGTAGCCCCAGATCCTTCTGCTGAAACAGTAATTGAGTTTAACTCATTTATAAGGGGTTACCATGTTTGCCAGACTATATGGGACCCAGCAATTGGTGATTTTCTGCAACTAGAAAGAGAGCCAAGCAATGAAGAAGGTAAGTTTGCTGTGGCTGTGATAGATTCAAACAATAACATTGCTGGACCATATTCCTCATTGCCTTAGACCTACATCGTCAAATTTCTGA